TTACACCTGCTTTTTATGGAATATAATATGTCTTCGCTTATAACGCTTGGTTTTTTGATGCTCAAAATAGATTTTAAAACATAAAATCAGACTTTCTAATTATAGATCAAGATTTCAAAGCTGAAAATACATTTCTCCTTTTTTTCTTTTTCATTACTATTATTTTATGATACAGTTATATAGACCCTGGGATTTCTCATAACCACTGCCCTAATCCATCCACCCCACCACTGAGTTCTCCCATATCATTACAACAGCATAATTCCTCATAGACAGTATAAGTCCATCATATCAAGCATGGACAATGGCAGTGAGTCCAGCAACCCATTGTCAAGACACATGCAACAATTTCACTGGAAGTCCATCCTCGATCCAGAAATAGAGATGCACATTGCACTGTATCCTCATATCTGGTCATGTCAGTCTCCACTACACAGTCACTATACATCCCCTCAAGTGAAAAATCATAAAACAAAATCAACAACAGGAAGAAAAACAGAAATTTACAATGCCATGATGTTAAATGACATGACACTAGATATGACAGTCTCCATTACACAGCGACTATACATCCCCTTAAATGAAAGGCCACAAAATATAATCAACAACAGGAAGAAAAAAAAATTAACAACATCATGAAGTTAAATAACATGCTACTGAGTGACTAATGTATCACTGAAGAAATGAAAAAGAAAATCAAGAACATTCTTGAAGTAAATGTTGCTACTGTATGATCTATGAGTCATTGAAGAATTTATTCAGAAGCAAGTGTTTAGAAGAAATGAAACTAAAAACAAGAACATCAAAATCCATGCAATACAGTTTTCACTGATCGATGTTGGTGAAATGTGTCTCCTGTTGACAACATACAGATGGGTTTTGTGATTTTAATCCAGTCTAAAAATCTGTGATGTTTGACTGATGAGTTTAAGCCATTTTACACTCAGGGTTAATATGTATGGGTGGTGGGCCCGGCGTGGTGGCGCGGTGGTTAAGGTCCTCGCCTTACATGCCTGGGATCCCATATGGGCGCTGGTTCTAATCCCGGCAGCCCCGCTTCCCATCCAGCTCCCTGCCTGTGGCCTAGGAAAGCAGTCGAGGACGGCCCAAGGTTTGGGACCCTGCACCCGCGTGGGAGACCTGGAAGAGGCTCCTGGCTTCGGATCGGCATAGCATCGGCCCGTTGCGCTCACTTGGGGAGTGAATCATCAGACGGAAGATCTTGCTCTCTGTCTCTCCTCTCCGTATATCCGCCTTTCTAATAAAAATAAAATAAATCTTAAAAAAAAAATATGTATGGGTGGTAATTTGGTCCTGTCATTTTAGGAATTGGTTGTTCATTGATTTAGTCTTCTGTTTTTATATTACTGGGATGTTCTTCACATATGCTTTTGGCTTTGGTGGGTGCTATTCCTTTTCTCTATCAAGAGAACATCTGTAAGTATCATTTATAGGGCAGTATTGAAAGAAGCGTATTTTTTGAGCTTTTCTTTACTGTGGAAGAATCTTATGTCCTTTTCGAAGACAAATGAAAGCTTTACTAGGTACATTATCCTAGGCAGATGATTTTTTTGCTTTTACAATCTGAAATGTGCTGCTTCATTCTCTTCTGGCCTTAGAGTTTCCTGTGAGAAGTCAGCTGTGAGCCTGATTGGCATTCCTCTATATGTGAATTGATTTTTTTGACGTGCTCATTTAAGGATCTTTTCCTTATGTTTGATTGAAGAGAGCTTGATTATCATGTATTGTGGTGAAGAGTACAGTGTCCCTCCTGGATGTTGTTTCTCAATTCTTGCTCTAGATTAGGGAACTTTTCCCTTATTATTTCATTAAATATATTTGTGAAACCAGTTTCTCTTTCTGCACTTTCTGGAACTCCCATACTCTTATATTGGGCCTTTTTACACTGTCTCTTAATTCTTGAATACTTTTTTTAGCTTTACTCAGCTCTGCTTCCAGCTTTTTGATTGTTTCCCCCTGGTGACAGGAAATATCTTCAATTCTGAGATTCTTTCTTCTGCCTTCTCCATTCTTTTATTGAGACTTTCTGTTGAATTTTTAATCTGCTGTATTGCATTTTTTATTTCCAATAATTGAGCTTGGATTTTTTTTCAGTGTTGCTATTTGCTGTATGACGTATTCCTTGACTTCTTGCGTGTGCTTCTCATTGTTAAGATGCTGTATAACAAGTGTTTTGAATTCTGTATCCCCCATTTTCTCAATGTATTCCTCAGTTAACTCTGAGGTTGACAATGGCTTTTGCCCTTTGCAGGGGAGTTTTCAGTAATATCCATTGCGTCTCTTTCTATTCTTTTGCTTTTGGTTGTACTTCTGGTTAGCAGATTTTTCTCCTTAGGGCAGGTTTCCAAAGTGTGTCACCCACAGGTCTGCAATTCGATTTTACTTGTTGTGATTGATACACTGTTCTTTGTTTGCAGTCACTTGTGCCACTCCCTCCAATGAATTTCAGATCTGGGCTCTTATGTTAGACTTTCACCATGGTCTCCATAGGCCCAGCTCCTGTTTACCACTCTACCTCCTGTGATCCCACACTGTTTTTGCACCTGAAAATACATTTTTCTCAAACATAACCTTAAGTGTGAGTTGCATTCAACTAATTTGAAATTCACAAACTTAGGAAATATCTAATCTGAAAGCCAAAGGTCTACAACGGATGTATCTGCATTAAAAAATACGATGAAGGAAAAAAGCATTAAAGGTAGTATATTTCTTCCCCATCCCACGAGTCATCTCTTGCACATATAAAAAGTGTGTTCTGCAACCTAAGTGAGTGAGTCAGTCCCTAGAGAGGAGGGGAGTAGGACAACATGAATGTTATCACAATTTACATGATTTTTACATATTTAAATATTTCAAGTTGATTGAAATAATAATTTGCAATATTGAAAATAGCCTTTACTTGCTTATCTATTTTTATTGTGCTCTGAATGACATTTCTTACTACTGGTTTCAAAAGTTCCAGAAGTTGCATAGTTTTGAACTTAACCAAGGTCTCCATCTATTTTCTGAATTACCCACATGTGGAAAAAATCTGCATTAGTAACTTTACGCAAAACAAAATGGTTTTGAAATTTGGAGTTAGAACACTTAGGTCCATATACCTCTCCGCTGCCAAATTCCAGCAAAGTGATATTCTTATAGAAAATATTGCTTTTCTCATTGAAAATGTACCTCATTTCTTCTGTTCACTTTTTACTCTTGGGGAAATTTCATCTTTTCAATGTGATAAAAGCAAGATCATCATATAATAGGAATATTAATTGTAGAATAGGACAAAACTAAATACATGGGCAAGATATGATAGCAAAAAGAAGAGATGAAATGTGAAAATATAGGATGCCCTATTCCCAATCTGTCTGGGAGAATGACTGAATAAATTTGGTTGTAAAACATACCTTTTCACATATGTCAGGTAAAAATTCTGGAATGGGAAAGAAAAGGCAAGGATAGTGTTTCTGGAGACTTAGAGTCAAGGGTTGATCTATTTCTTCTTTGAGTCTCCCTTTGATCAGAGTGAAAAATGGAAGGAAAGCAATGAATAGGTAGGATGAAGTAGGAGAGGGCAGGTCCAGCTTCACAAGCTGGGCCGGTAGCTTCAAAGGAAAGTGAGAGCTCAAGACAGAGCTTGCAGGGAGACTGAAAATGGAGATTGTACTCTTAGCACCTCCCCTGAGGTGAGATGGATCATGGAAATTATTACTTTAAATGCTTAGATCACTGCTTTTGATAACTGACAGAAAACTCATCCCTTCCCTTGTAATGACTTTTACCTATTTTCCTTTCTCCTACTCCTTGGGATTATTTGTGTCTCCAGTCCACAGTTGATTGTACATGGTATAGGGAACCAGAAAAATTACAAACTGGATAGGTGGGAAACAATGGGCACCAGGAGAAAATACATGGCAACCCAGAGTGGCAGAAAGTTAGTTAGGTTTCTCAGAATAGAAGGAGAGAAAAGACATTCAATAAAGTTTATTAAGGTTCTACTGTGTGCCAGGCAGTGTTCTAGATCCCCTCATCCCAAAGCAGAGGTAAAAATAAGATGGTGGCAGCAAATACAAATTCTGAAGATAAGGGCAGTTGAAAACAAAGCAAATTGGTATACATGAGATGATGGGGTGCACCTCCTTAGGCTTCCTCTTTGGTCCTCTCCCCCAAATCCTCCTCCTCTTCCATAATGGCATCCAGATACTGCTGAAGCCTGTAGACAAGAATATTCATCCTACTCTCAGAAGTGTTGATATTATTGTCAGAATATACAATATCTTCTAAAGTTATTTTTGTTGTTGTTTTTATTGTCAAATTGAGTTTCTGACATGGTTCTTTAAATTTGAATGCCTTTAACATCCCATTTTGGTGTAATTATTCTGCTTTGGAAACTTATGATGAATTTTGGGAAATGTAACAGCAATCTGATTCTTTTTCACCTTTTGTGAACAAGGTTACTCTTGCACATTTTGTAAATAATCTTGGAACATTATTAGAACAATGGCATGATTTCCAAGGGAAAAGTTTATAACTGTCCTGGCAGAACAGTTACTGCTGAAGTAGTTATGACTTTAAAAATCTCACATATGGAAAAACTACCTTGATTCACAGTTCTCTCTGCTTCCAGAAAAGCGCATCCTAGGGTCTCAGTCTTTGTCGCTTCCCACACTTTATGTATCTTGTGAGCGGACCATTGTCTGAATTCTCAGTGCAGAGTTCTTGATATTTGATAATTAGTGTTTACTGCATTCATGATTTTGCCTCTTCCAAAATAATATGAATGCTTTGCCTAAAAATTGGAAAAGTTCCTTTCAGAATTATGATTTGAGTTCTTCAATTAATGTGTTTAGAGGAAGAAAATGACTCCCAGGAAAGTTAAATGGCAATCCCAATGGCTTATAATAAAGTGGTTGTCCAAGTCTGGGTGTTCTCTTCTTTGGCTTCAGGTTAAGTTTGATATAGACAATTAACAACTGTGCTTCCTTTTTTAGGGTCCTAAGGGCAAAAAAGGAACTCCTGGTCCTCATGGAAAACGTGGGATCCCTGTAAGTAATAGGCCTCTTTTGTCTTCCTTGTCTTTCTAAATGGAAACTTCAGCTTTAACAAGTAGAAGGCTTAGGGCCAGTTACATCATTGTTGGATAAATCTGATTGTCATCAAAGAAAAATTAAATCCATGCTGGAACACAGAAGGAACACAGTATGACCAGTTACCACACTTGCTATTTAAATCGAAGCTCCTGGGACTGAAGGATGCTATTTAGTTGTATTCTGGAGCCCATTCTGTGGACTGTGTTGGTGAACCACCGAAAATCAGGAACTTGGATCGTAACTCAATAAATAATGAGAAAAATCAGAGATTTTCAAGCATAATTTAAAAGACATGAGCTACATTTTAAGTAGAAAATTCAGCCTCTCATTCTTCTGACAAATTAAACAGAATGTCTTGCAACATTTTGAAGTCCTTTCATCAAAGAAAAAGATGAGTTTTACATTAGTCATCATTTTGTTCTTCTGGCCAAATAGATATGTGTCAATTGGCTTGTTGGCATAGATTTCCTGCTGGTACCATAATCAAGGCTTGGATGCCTGTTTTGGATAGCCTGTGTTGGTTTAGAATAAGTTAAAAAAAAAAAAGTAAAATGTATTTAGGTTCAGATCAGAGATTTCTACGTATAAAATCTGGTTGGCTAAGAGCAGAAGCCAAAAATTAAAGCCTTTCTTCAGTTATGTAACTGCTTTATTCATACTTGGTTTATTAGAAAGATAGCACATATAAGGGTTTGCAGATGATGAGTAGGCGTGTATCCTATGTTGACAGCTGCATATTAGAGACCTTCACTCTACAGCTGGATGTGCAGGGACTGGCATTATGAAAAATATCTGAGAACTGCACGAAGGTACCCCAGCTATTCAATACATTGCTCATTTGTTTGACATTTTTCTCAGGTAACTCTTGGAAATAGCTATCTGTTGAATCTGAACTTTATTTCCTTATTATTTTAATTGCTATTTTCTATGATGCAGTTTTGTAGGTTTAAGGATTCCCCCCTCCATCTCGCATTCCTGCCTTCTTATTCTTTTCCCCCATGTTATTATAAAAATACACTTCCTCATATTATTTTCCACCATGCTATTACAATAGTAATAATATAGCATATGTATTATATAGTGTATTATATACTTTGATGCTTTGATGTATGTATCATATATCTATATATATACACACACACTATATGTTATAGTCCATAAACAACACAATCCAACATTATACTATTTAAGTATATCATGGCATAGTAAGTCTAAGCAATGGTAGAAAATCTAGTATCATATTGTCAAGGTGTATTTAACAGTTTCATATGTACTTTTTCTTTTATTTAGGAAGAGAAATGGATACTTTAATGTTTCTTCACTTCCCAGTATGCTAGTCTCCGTTATACAATTCATCTATGGGGATATACTATATATTTTTTATTACCTATTTATAAATGACAGCAGAACAAGCAACTCTGTTAAGAAATGGGCAAAGGAATTGAGCAGATATTTTTCAACAAAAATTCAAAGACATGAAAAAATGCTCAGGCTCCCTATTAGGGAAATACAAATAAAAACTACATTGAGATTCCACCCAGCCTACATTTGAAGTAAATTAACATCAGCTAATGTGGTTGTGGGGAAGCGCACACCCTATTCTACTCTTGGTGGGAGTGTAGACTAATGTAGCCACTATGGAAATCAGTATGGAGACTGCTAAGACAGCTGAAAATTGATCTATCGTATGATCCAGTTATTCCTCTCCTAGCAACATAGCAGAAGGAAGTAAATTCTGCATATGAAAAAGTGACCTACAATCCAGTATTTATAGCAGCACAATCTACAATGGCAAAGACATGGAAACTACCCAGATGCATGTCAAAAGAGGAATGGATAAAGAAACTGTGTTATACCTACCCCCCATGGAATACTACTAAGCAATGAAAAAGATTGGAATTCTGCCGTTTACAGTAAAATGGTCCTAACTAGAGACCTTTGTGCTCAGGGAAATAAGCCAATTCTAAAAGGACATTATATCATATATTCTCTCTGATATAAGGCAACATTCATGGAGAATCCAAACCTTAAATTGTTGAGGAATCTAAAAAGCCAGAAAACACGTATTACAATATCCTACTCTCCAATAAATTTGGATGTATATTTGTGTTTTATACATCTACCAGTCGTCTCTCTATAATGTAAACAATTTTTAATTATCAAGGGACTTCCAGGCTCCCCTGGGCTGAAGGGCAGGCAAGGTTACCCTGGACCAGCTGGGATTTCAGGAAACCCAGGAAAAGTTGGACCACCAGGAAAACATGGATTTCCTGTGAGTAGTAACTTCTCATTGCTCTTTATTTTTGCATGTCTTCTTCCTAGATCTCAAATATCTTGGCTAAATATCTTACCAGTAGTATTTGTCCAGATTAACCCAGTTGTATCTTCTAACAGTATTGAATTATACCTATGATTTCCAGAGGATATCAATTAATAAATTCTTTTGGATATTTTATATCTAATAATCCATGGTGTTGGTAATCTAATACTGTTCTCATACATATAAAGTCATGTGAAGAATTATGAAGAAGCAGAACTTGAGGAACTGTATAATCTGTCTATGCTATGAGTTCATCAAATGTCTTAAGCCAACAGTTTAGATCTTAACAGCAACTCAAGATGAGTTTAGCCAAAAATTATTTTTCCTTTACTTTTGAAGACTCACCATTTAATAAAAAATTGTATGAGTGTTTTGTGTGTGTGTTCATCTAGGAATAATGTAATGATGTATATATACTTTGATTTTTATGCAAATTTGGTATTATGTGTTTGATAGTCAATTTTTAAATCATAGTTTCTTCTTCACATGCCATTCTTTTTTCCTTCAATAATAACATTCTAAACCAGATGATTTTACCAGGTCAAGTTGTGTTTTCATAATCACTGAAAAAATTGACTGCTCATCTTCAAGAAAACAATAAAACATACTCTTATTTATTCCCACTGTGGAGATTTCTATTGATTAACTTTTCTTTTAAATTATAAATCAATCCTATTTGCTTATTCATATCTAGTATATTGCTCTCCCTAACTCAAACTCAGGTTAATATTTGTCATACAATGGTGAGGTATCTCATTCATTAAAAAAAAAATGAAGCTGTGACCTAAAAACTTTAAGAAATAAATGTTCATATTCTGTCTGAAAAGATAAATATTTTAAGAAATATTAATATAGTATCTGTTTGCTTTAGAAGAAATGTGTCAATGTGTCAGAACATCAGAGGATCAGTCAGGTTAAGGTCTAGACAACCATGATAGCCATGCTGAAATTTTCAGCTAAGATGGTTATTGTATAGACTTCCATTACTATTATCAGTATTTTTTTTTAAAGCTTCCATTTGGGACCAAATCCTAAGAGGACACGTGCCCTGAGCCTACACCTTTGCGCTGCTCCTCAGGCTTCCTGTAATAATCTAAGATGAAATTGCCAAACTTTAAAGTTAACAATAGTAAGACACTTTGAATTGGTGTGACAATCCATATTTTTGTGGATTGGGTATCACAGAAAACAGTGAAACTTTTTTATTGCTTTGAGTAAGATTCTGAGAGTTCAGACAAAAACACATTTGAAACAGAAAAATTATATATATATATTATATCTGGATGCATACATTTTAGATCCATAGCTTTTTGAGGATGTCTGCCGTATTATATAAGACTAAAAAGTGAATTGTAAATATACTCATGTGCTGAATGATGATGTTTTACTCAACAAATTTACATATATATATAATATAAATTTATATATTTTGTATATATTGACATCATATATGTGACATATATTGACATAATTTATATATTTATATGTAGAGAGACATCATAGCAATCATAATGGCTGTGTTTGTAATGATACTGGGGTAAACAGAAGTATATAGGATTTTTATACACAATTTTTATCATTGCTTCAAAAATACTTTTATTTAAAAAAATTAGTTTGCAGGCTGAGTCACAGTGGCAGCAACCTCCTGTGTCTTGTACTTGCCACATGTTTTGATTGTGTTAAGAGACCACAGGAATGACTGATCTGTAGCATCTAGGCTAGTATAAGATCACTCTAGGATATTCACAGTGAAAAAACTGCTTAACAGAGCATTCCTCCGAACATATCATATCACAATACATTGCTATACTAATAGCAAATAAATATAAGTATTTCATCAACAGAAATAGGAAATAATCTTTCTAGCTAAAAAAAAACTACTAGTTTAAATATCCATTCCAATAACTGATAGTGGAGCCAGTATCCTATATAAAAGGGCATTTCAAAAAAGTCATGAGAATGTGAATTAAAACATAATGCATAATTATCACAAGTTACAACAGTGGAACTAAGAAGCATTGATCAGTAAAGATAATTTATAGAGGTGTTCATAACAGCACTATTAATAACAGCCAATACAGGGAAGCCACCCACATATCCAGTAGTTGAATTAATATAACATAAATATACAATAGCATGTCCATCTTTGAAATGGAAGGTAATGGATTAACCTTGAAGACATTACACTAAATGAAATAAATAAGACACAAAATGGCAAACATTGAATTATTTCTCTTGTATAAAATACCATTTAGCAAATTCATTGAAATGTAGAAAGAAGATAAGTGGTCATCAAGGATTTATAGAAGTTAGTTGGAGAGTGGCCTAATCTGTGTATAGTTTCAGTTTGGGAAGATAAATACTTCTACAGAGGGTGTTGGTGATGTTTGCACAACAATGTGAATTTACTTAATACCACTGAACTTTACACTTAATGGCTAAAGTGGGAAGCAGTCATCTGGTATAGTGGATAAGACACCACTTGGGATGCCCACATCCTGTATTATGGTACCTGAGTTTCAATCCCTCTGGTCCTGACTATATTCTAGATTTGTTTCTTGCTAACATGCACCCTAGGAGGCAACAGGTAGTGGCGTAAGTTATTGGATCCCTGACACTCATGTGGGAGACTCAGAAAGGAGTTACCTGCTCCAGGCTTCTGCCTGGCACAACCCCAGCTGCTACAAGCATTTGAGGAATGATCCAGCAGATGGAACTCACTGTGTCTCTACCTCTGTGTTTTTCAAAAACTTCTGTAAGTTACCAAATAAATGAGTGGAGCATAACTTGATTCCGAAATTTGAAGAGGCTCATTAAGACCCCTGTTAATGTAATAGGCAATTCAATGTGCAAAAATTTGCTTCTACTTTTGGACAGATAACCTAATGTGCCCCTAAATCACTGTTCCTAGAAACTTGACCCATTAGGTAGCCCCTTGTGCTTCTTAAACCTGCCTTTCAGTTTAACTTTAGGATATTTATTTTCTGATCTCCAAGAAATCAGTTTAATACATCTAAATGATACTTAGTGAGGTGTCAGAGCTTTAAAGATACTTGTTTGCTCTATTGTATGACGGGGGAAAATGGGATATCATCACACTAATAAAGCCAGTGACGAGATATGCTGTCCCTGCAACCTGAAGGCAGGACTGTCTCCACTGGTAGGGATGTAGGTAAGAAATATTTTTGCTGTATGTGTCACTACTGCTGCTAGTGCCTGTGTTGTTTATCAAAATTCTAAATCAGAACTAAAGCTGTGATTGACATAAAACTTGTGATTGTTTTTAGTGGTCTCCAAACCAAACAGGTGAATAAAATGGCTATAAGATACAGTAGGAGGACCCAGCATGGCAGCCTAGTGGCTAAAGTCCTTGCCTTGCACCCGCCGGGATGCCTTAAGGGTGCCAGTTCTAGTTCCGGCAATCCCGCTTCCCATCCAGCTCCCTGCTTATGGCCTGTCAAGGACAGCCCAGAGCCTTGGGAACCTGCACCCACATGGGAAACCCGGAAGAGTGCTCCAGGCTTCTGGGTTCAGATAAGCACAGTTCACGCCATTGTGGCCACTTGAGGAGTAAATCATCAGACAGAAGATCTTCCTCTCTGTCTCTCCTCTAATCGGTATATCTTACTTTCTAATAAAAATAATAATGATAATTAAATAAATCTTTTAAAAAGACACAGAAGGAATCTTTATTCTTGTATCTTTCAAGTCTTTGTGCAACAAAAATACAATTTTTCAAAGGAAATTGGACAATATACACAGTTTTACTAAGGATTTAATGTTGCCTTAGGTTTGTTGTTAAGTGGGAAGAATCAGGAAGATAATTGCAGTCGCAATCACTGGGCTATTCTTAACAGTGTCCTTCAATTTATGAAGATTGATATCAGAAAGCAGATAATATCTATCTAATTTGTATGTGTATTTTCTTTTGTATTCAAGAGTCTGTGGGAGTATGTTAGCAAAGCATACCCAGTGAACCAAATTGGCCTATAATTGTATGACTTAAGTATGAATAAAAATTGTTACATTTTTAATGATAGAAATAAAGAAAGAGTATTTATGACATGTAAAAATTATATTAAATTTGAATTTCACTATCCATTATTTTCAACAGAACAGACCCGATCATTTTTTTTTAAATATATAAAATTTATTTTGACAATCTTTACATAGTTAATTAGGGTAAGAAGGTTCAAGGGCTACAGGAAAGTGGATGAGACTAGTATGTTTTCCATATTGTTACCTTCATGTTTAAAGGGGGGTATTAAGGGAGAAGGCCCGCCCAGTTCCCCATCCTCCCCAGGTCCCAGATGTAGGGCATGCTCTGAGGTTCTTGCTCAAGTGGTTTTGATATTGCCACAGTTATGAATTGCTGTCAATCTTGCCACTCCAAGCACTATGAGGTTTTTGAAAAATCCACTGATTGATATAGTCCATCATAGCTGAGATGGTTGGTTGACCTGTTCTGTCTTCTCTCTTTTCTTGGTTAGGGTTCTGAGTCCAGCATTTAGATTAGGAAGATCTCCAAAGAAACTTCTTGTACGTGCTAGCAAGTACAGGGCCCAGCACAGTCCATGGTCCCGATCAGCTGGTGGTTGCAATTGCTGGGTTGGTTCTGTTTTCACTCCCGACTTCCACTGGAACCAATGAGTATTGCAGTCCAGCCTGGTTCTGCCCAGCACATACTTGGCCCTCGCACAAACCAGTGGGAGCTGCAGCCTAGTTGGAGCGACCCACAATAACCCCCACCAGGCCCACCCCCTACCCTGGTTTGCCAGTATGTGTAGCAGTAATCCAGTCTGTCCCACACCCCATTCCACCCCAGCCGCTATCTTAGTTTTATGTCCTCCCGTGGAAGTGGTAACCCAAGAGGGATGAGCCCAGTATTTCCCTCCCAGGTCTCTCCCAATCCCAGATTCCAGCTGATGCTGTGGCTAAGCCCAAACAACCCT